AAAAGAAGAATAAGATAATAAAATGAGCCAGTGAACTTCAGCTCCCTGTTTGTGCCAAAGGGAAGCTCTGTAGCCATTGAGACCCCCTTGATGGTCTGTCTGTACACATATTCTCCGCAGAAGGAGTCAGGTCCAGAGGGGGCGATGGTAACTGCTTTGGGAAAAAGTTAGTCATCCCCACGTCCTTCTTAGCCTCCTGGCCCTGCAGGAACACTGTACCACCCACCTGGGGTGTTGAGATTTGGCAAGATGATCCACAGTTGTGATTTTTTGAATTCCAACCCACTGGCCTCATATTTCTTCTGCCTTGTTTCCGATTGTCAGCACTGGCCGTCCTCCAGTTTGATTTTACCACTAATTGTGTTGCACGTTACCGTACCGAAATGAATCAAATCAAAATGCTTTTCCTGGAGCATTAGATAAAGCAGGCGAAGGTTCTGAGTAATGAGCAGATGCTACTAATGCAGGGACAGTGCAGACCTTGCCAGGACTCCATCTGCTCCATGCTTGCCTGCCTTTGGCCTGGAGCCACAGCATTGGGGAATGGCAGCATACTCGAAACCCGCTCCCTGTTCAGAGTTTGTCACGAAAACTCACTCTTCGGTGAGAAATGAGATTACACACTTCTTAGGTGCAAAGAAGTTCTTATTTGTCCCCCTCAGTGGAGAGAGGAGAGACCAGACCCAGTGCACATTAGCATGTGGAAGCCTAGATAGGACAGCCAACAGTCGTCTCTCTGTGGTGCCATCAAGCAAGGCAAAGTGGCTTATCCACTCCTGCAGCACTCCTAGTGCAATTGTCTGAATGCACGCATGCTCCATTGTTCAGGGCTGTGCCTGACCTGGGCTGAAGTTACTCTCGTGCACACAGTGGATGGGAGTGGGTCTCTCCAAGCTTCTTTTTAGCAGTGAACAGTAGGACTATATTTTAGCCGGCTATAGAGACTAGGTGCTTCTAAAGTTTTATTTGTAACTTTATGTTTAATTAAAAAATCAGTTCTTCAATAGTTTTGTTTATGTCTCTCATTTGTATGTTGATGATGACATTTCAATTTAATAACATAACCTTTGAATGTAATATTCAATCTCCTCCTCTCCCCTGGTGTTTCAGAAGTGGATTATTAACATACTAATGCATTGCTTGGGAGATGGCTAGGACACCTGACTGTGGATTGTGGAGAATTTTGTGTTTTTTCAAGGCCTGCCTTTTCTGGTCATTTTTCTCTTAAAAGTTTCAATAAGTAATTCTTGCCTGAAACCGTTGCCTACCCTTAGGTCTTAGGAGTCTTATTCAGACACTTGGTGGATAAAACAATATGAAACAACTTTCTGATAAAAACCAAAAAAATACCAGATGGAGTCCTTTTTTCTTAATAGTAAGAGTGCTCACATTTTAAAGATATTCAGAGTGGATTTAGAAATGTAGAGTTTTGAACTGAGGTGGTTCTTTCAGTACTGAGGAAGTATTTCTTAGGGCATTGAACTTTAAAGTTGACTGCCACCTGGAATGGTCTAGGGTGTTAGATTTTGTTTCATAGACAAGCCATAGAGACTATGTTTATGTGATGGAGGAAGTTGCTGAATAAAAATGCTTTTTTAAAGTTTTTCTATTCTTCAGTGAGGGGAGTTTGAAGTTATATTTGTTTTACACTTGCTTATATGTACTTTGGACTGAATATGCATTGTAACTAAATAATAGTTCAGTGTTCCTTAAGTAGCATTCCACAGATAAAATCGTGGGTGGGAGTTGTAAGATCTCTAGGAAATTTTTTTTTTTTTAGTAGAGGGAAGGATTGATTATTTATTTATTTATTTATTTATTTTTGGCTGTGTTGGGTCTTCGTTTTGTGTGAGGGCTTTCTCCGTGGCAAGCGGGGGCCACTCTTCATCGCGGTGCGGGGGCCTTTCACTGTCGCGGCCTCTCCTGTTGCGGGGCACAGGCTCCAGATGCGCAGGCTCAGCAGTTGTGGCTCACGGGCCCAGTTGCTCTGCGGCATGTGGGATCCTCCCAGGCCAGGGCTCGAACCCGTGTCCCCTGCATTGGCTCAACCACTGTGCCACCAGGGAAGCCCAGAAAGTTTTTTTAAATCTGTGTATTTTTATGGTAATTTTAAAAAGGAATCTGGATCTTTTGACCTTGTAACTAAACCATACTGTGAGATCTCATTTGAATTTGCATTTTATAGTCATAGGCTGTTGGCACCAAGTGATTACCTGTGTGCCTTGTAATGCTTTGTTTTTCACACTGACTGATTCATAGATGAATTCTTAGAGGTCTGCAAACTCTCAAATTCACGAAACACTGGAGAGGGAAGTTCTCATGCTTTAGGCACACATTAGCAGATGGTCAATTTCTAGGATAACTACAAAATTTTGAAGTTACTAGTGAAAATAATTTGAAATAGTTTTATCATGCAGGAAACAGTGGCACATTGCATTTATGATACAAGGTTTGGTGCTAATCCTTTGGTTAATTGGGGGGTGGTTTTACTGAACATGGATTTTTTTTTTAGTACATCTTTATTGGAGTATAATCGCTTTACAATGTTGTGTTAGTTTCTGCTGTACAAGAAAGTGAATCAGCTATATGCATACATATATCCCCATATCCCTCCCTCTTGAGCCTCCCTCCCACCCTCCCTATCCCACCCCTCTAGGTCATCACAAAGCACCGAGCTGATCTCCCTCTGCTATGCAGTAGTGTCCCACTAGGTATCTATTTTACATTTGGTAGTGTATATATGTCAGTGCTACTCTCTCGTTGTGTCCCAGCCTCCCCTTCCCCCACTGTATCCTCAAGTCCGTTCTCAACGTCTGCATCTTTATTCCTGCCCTACCACTAGGTTCATCAGTACCAGTTTTCCAGATTCCATATATATGCGTTAGCATACGGTATTTGTTTTTCTCTTCCTGACTTACTTCACTCTGTATGAGACTCTAGGTCCATCCACCTCGCTAAAAATAACTCATTTTCATTCCTTTTTATGGCTAATATTCCATAGTGTATATTGAACACTGATTTTTTTTTTTTAACGTCTTTACTGGAGTATAATCGCTTTACAGTGTTGTGTTTCTGCTGTATAACGAAGTGAATCAGCTATATGTATACATATGTCCCCATATCCCCTCCCTCTTGCATCTCCCTCCCACCCTCCTTGTCCCACCCGTCTTGGTGGTCACACAGCACCGAGCTGATCTCCCTATATGTTGCAGCTGCTTCCCACTAGCTGTACATTTTACTTTTGGTATTGTATATATGTCAGTGCTACTCTCTCACTTCGTCCCAGCTTACCCTTCCCCCTCCGTGTCCTCAAGTCCATTCTCTACGTCTGCGTCTTTATTACTGTCCTGCCCCTAGGTTCAATAGAACCATTTTTTTAGATTCCGTATATATTGAACACTGATTTTTAATGACACAGCACGATGCATAAATTTTGAACTGAATGAAAATTAGAAACAGTATATCAGTATATGGGATGTAGCTAAGGCAATGCTTAGAGGGAAATTTATAGCATTAAGCGCTTATATTAGAAAAGAGAAAGTCTCAAATCAACAGTATAGCTTTTCACCTTAAACTAGAAAAAGAAGAGAAAGTTAAAATAAGTGGAAGGAATAAAGTAATAAAGATAAGGGCAGAAATCAATGAAATAGAATAGAGAAAAAAACAATAGAGGAAAATCAATGAAATGGGCAACTGTTCCTTTGAAAATTTTGATCAAATTGACAAACCCTAACCAGATTGATCAGGACAAAAAGAGAAAAGAAATGAATTACTAACATCAGGAATGTAAGAGGGGACATCACTACAGATCCTATAGATATTAAAAAGTTACGGTGAACTCTTTTGAACAACTTTATGCCAGTAAATTCAACCAGTTAGATAAAATGGATAAATTGATTTTTTGAAAAACAAACTACCTAAGTTCACTTAATAAGAACTGTAAAACATGAATAGCTATATTTCTATTAAAGAAATTGAATTTGTAATTTAGAAGTGTCCACAAAGAAGACTGCAAGCCAAATGGCTTTACTGGTGAATTCTACCAGACACTTAAGGAAGAAATAATACCTATTCTACACACTTCCATAAAATAGACGAAGAGGAACACTTCTCAACTCAGCTTGTGAGGCCAGCATTACCTATCAAGACTAAAGAAGAAAAAATAATAACTAATATATGATAACAAGTATACTACAGATTGATAGTCCTCATGAACATAGATGTAAAAATCCTCTAGTGTTATCATTAGAAGTTTCATTGTAAATCCATCCTAATTGAGAAGTCACTTAGTTTTCAGGGCAGCTACTGAAAACATTTGTAAGATACAAGTTAATATGTTTTTACTTTTGTTAGGGATAGCCTTTCAAATTATTTTTTAAAACCGTTTTATTATGGAAAATTCAAAATATTCAAAAGTGGAAAGAATAGTCTGATGAGCCCCCATATCCCTGTCCCTCAGCTTCAGTAGTTACCAGCACTGCTTTTAAATTACACAGGTTTCTAAATATTATACAGTTATATCACTCAACATATGAGTGGAGCTATTTTTGAAGACAGACATATTTTCCTGTTAGCAGTAAACAGTAGTTTTAAAAAGAAAAAGAACAAGGAGGCTAAGACTTACTGAATGCTAGTCCTAGCCCAGGCCCTGTGCCGGCCTGATCCAGGAGAAGTGGTGGTGATGTTACGGATTCCTTTGGAGTTTTTGTTTTTTTTAAAAATTTATTTTATTTATTCATTTTTGGCTGCATTGGGTCTTCCCTGCTGCGCGTGGGCTCCCTTTAGTTGCGGCGAGCGGGGGCCACTCCTTGCGGCGGTGTGCGGGCTTCTCATTGTGGTGCGCTCTCCTGTTGCAGAACACGGGCTCTAGGCACACGGGCTTCAGTAGTTGTGGCATGCGGGCTCAGCAGTTGAGGCTCGCGGGCTCTAGAGAGCAGGCTCAGTAGTTGTGGCGCACAGGTTTAGTTGCTCCTTGGCATGTGAAATCTTCCAGGACCAGGGCTCGAACCTATGTCCCCTGCATTGGCAGGTGGACTCCTAACCGCTGCGCCACGAGGGAAGCCCTTTCCTTTGGAATTTAATTCACTTTAACCCATCAATGAATCGGAAGTAGAATTTGAGTTTTTAATTTAATTTTGTATATCCGTGTTAAATATTAATTATAAAATGTGGATTATGATTGGGAAAAATAATAAAGTTATCTCATCACTGATAAAATTAATATTTATAAATATATGTGTACAAATTATAACAAATTGTTTGATGTAGTATTACATGTAGAAAAAACATGTAGTAAAAAAGTGTTCTTTCTCTCCCTACCACTACTGGGTCCTGGTTCCCCCCAGTCACCCCCTCTCTTCTCTAGAGACGTTGACCACTCCCAGTGTCTGATATAGTTTTCCAGATATACTCTATATTGTTTACATCACTTAGTTGTAGTGCAGGAGAAAATTGGCTGGAGTTAGTGGCTGTGTGCACGATGATGTCTTCCTTGCACTGTCTGCCTTCTCTGCACTTCCCCTTATAGAAGAGCTGGTCCAAATTCTTCCCCATCGATCTGTTTTTCCTTTGACTTTGCTAACTGTAAATGCTTCTATTTAGTCACATTGTCATATTCCTACACTATATCACTTGCCTCCTTTTTAATTTACTGTCTCTTTGTTTTTGATTCTTCTTTTTAGAATGTTCTTTCTTTCTGCTTTGAACTTGAGACCACTAAATATATTCATCTTTCCTCCTTCTTGACTCAGTTTCTGCTTTGGTGATCTTATGTCTTGTCGTTCCTTTGCTTATGCACTAACCAGTCACTTCATTGGTCCACAAGCCCATTCACATTCCCTTGTCAGTCTGGAATGCAGCTTCCAGAATACTTCATATGTATTGTTTTTCTGCCATAAGCAAGAGAGTTCAGCTTTAGAGCTCTGTTCAGCTGGGATGTTGAGGATGACATGCACAGTGGATGCAGCATCTAGGTGAGAGATAAATTTCATTTAGTTTTTTCTGTTTCAAGACCCTCCATGATTTAGCCCTTCTTTATGTCCCTTGTTTACACTGATTTTAATGTCCTACTGGCCTCTTCTCCCATGAAAGCAGAACTTGTTTTGTCCTCTCAAACTTCACGCCACTTACATCTCTGGCTTACATTTCATAGTGATGTTGTGTAGACTTAATGAGTGAAGAGGTACACGTTCAGTGAGTGCTATGGGTATATTTATTTATTTATTCTAAATGCCCGATTTAATACATGAATCAAACATGAAGAAGCCCAAAGAAATAACCCTTGAAGCATCCTTGAAAATCTCTTAACGACTGGTTTCTTCAGCACATGTCTCTTTAACACACAGATTCTTTAACACGTGCCCGTGATGCAGATATTTCTCTCTCTCTCTCTCTCTCTCTCTCTCTCTCTCTCTCTC